TAGTCTGAAAAACCAGAAACTTGTGTACTTCTTAAATCAATACATTTGTCTATATGAATTTATGTACTAAGGGATTAAAGCGATATGTATAATTATAGAACCAACTAAACGTAATTTTCAGTAATTTCAAAGGCCTATTAAACGACAAAGATTATATTATTATAGAACAGAAATACATATTTGTTGGGTTCTTTTAAATATGTTTTTCATGTTCCTCCACTGCTGTGTGGATGTCTTCCAGGGAATTCTGGTTTCCATCTGTACTCAAAAAGCATGAAATTAACCAAATAATGTGTGATAGTCTGTGTGAATGAGAGAGAGCCCTGTGATGGAGCAGCTCCTTCAGGGTCTTCTCTGCCTTGTCCAGTTCCTCGGGTGGAGAAGCTGGAGTGATGGCCACTAATTCCCTCCTCAGCTGCTCTATGAAGAGGGCTGCCCCAGGGTAGGCCTGCCATGCTGACTCCCCCATTACCCACCAGTAAAGTCCCTGGAGAGTAAAAAAGCATCTGTTCAGGGTCTCAGATGCTGATGGGAGAGCGGCTGTGCAGGCGTCGGGTGCACACGGGAGAGCGGCTGCGCAGGCGTCGGGTGCACAAGGGAGAGCGGCTGCGCAGGCGTCGGGTGCACACGGGAGAGTGGCTGCGCAGGCGTCGGGTGCACACGGGAGAGCGGCTGCGCAGGCGTCTGGCGTCCGCGGTGAAGTGGCGGATTCCGGACGGGCATCTGACTCACCCCTCCGTTTATGGCTCTTCTGCTTTTTCCGCGGAGCAGACACAGCGGGGGTGATGGGGAGTTCGGGTTGCCCGGACAGCGGGGGGAGAGGTAGCCCATTGTCCAGGTGTACTGGGTTGATCAGCACCTCTGCCACTCCTTCCCTTAACTGCCGCAGGTTGGCTTGCACCTCAGCTGTGAGGGGCGAGTTGTCCGGCGGGGAGATCTGTTCCAGGATCTCTTTCGACCTGGTAGCGAGGACTCGAGCTGCGGGGTCCTTTTTACCTTGGGCTGTGTGAGCCAATAGATGGTTTCGTCAATCAGCTCGAGGTATTCTTTCTCCTTGAAAGGAAGCGTCTTCTTGTGGAGTCCGGTCATTCTGTCGCACTACCTATCGAGACGTGCTATCGAGCCTTTCTGCGCATGTGCAGTTCCACCGTTTTGGGATTAGGGTTAGGTTTTAAGGGTTAGGGTTAGGGTTAGGGTTAAGGTAAGGGTTTTAGGGGTTTTGGGGGGTTAGGGTTAGGGTAAGAGTTAGGGTTAGGGCTATCTATTAGCACTACGGTAGCATTTTTTGACAAGGCAGCATATATCTACAGAACACCGGCTCACGGAGCGTAGAAAAAGGCACAGGATGCCAAAAGTCGGGGCAAACACGGGATTTAATAGATGCAGCAACAAAACGATCAGGCAACACACGGGATGACAATACAATGACCGAACTGGGGAAACAAACAGAAATGCGGACTAAATACAATGGACTAATGACAACTATCAGGAACAGCTGGTAAACACGAGGAATCCACACAGGGTTAATGAGGGGGCATGGCACATGGAGGGAGCGGATGATCGGGGCATGAAGTCCTCTTGCACTTGCAATAATGTGCTTTTAAAAAATTCACAAAAAATTCACTTCAACAGTTTTGTTATTTAACTCCATCCAGTTTACAGTTTCTAGTTTTAATCTCATACAATTGAAGTTAGCCTTCCTAACATTATATATTTTTGATTTGGACTTTGCTCTTCGGGCACTAAACTTAACCTCAAATTTAACCATGTTATGATCGCTACTGTCAAGTGGTTCTAAAACGTCTAATTTACCAATCCTGTCCTGGTTATTAGACAAAACAAGATCAAGAATGGCATCTCCCCTGGTAGGGGTGTTAACAAACTGAGTAAAAAAACAATCCTGTACTAATTCCACCATCTCCAGTTCATT